AGCCTTTTCGTGCTGTCTTCTCGTGCTTGATTTTTTCTATATTGGCAAGGACGGAAAGGACAAGCACCAGCTCTTCTTCTCGAAGGACTTTTTCTATTTCGGCGTATATCTCTTCCAGCCGAGTGCTACGCTCAGACTCCATTGTTTTGACCTGCTCAGCCAGCTCTTTGATCTCGTAGTATTTACTGTAGGTGAGTTTTAGCCCACGGTCCACCAAAGATCCAGAAAGTGTTCTTTTTGTGAAGTACAGGTCATGGAGGGAGTAGTACTTGTCCTCTGGCAAGTATTTTTTTAAAATGTTTATGTTCTTTCCATGCTTGCTATTCTCCGAGTAGAGCAGGTTTGCAATGTGGCAGAGAGACTCCTTATCCAGTCTTTCTTTGATATCATGCCACATGGAAATCAAGTTAGAACTTTTATCATCAAGCCTCAGAGTGCATGTTCTCGGGCTTGTTAGGTCAGGCATCTCATCATCTATGTTGATCCCCAGATGTTTACTCCTGTCATTCTGTATATGTATTCCAAGGCAAGGGCTGTATATGTGGGTGTTTGGCTTTATAACATCATTGATTACGCTGATGAAATGCTTTCTTACTTCTTCTTTTTTTTTGCTCTGCAGTGCCTTGTATAGGCCATGCATGAGATGTTTTCCATATGTATTGTATGCAAAGTATTCTTGCACTCTACACTTAAGTATTTTCAAGATCCGCACTACTTCATTAGTATTGTCTGCACCGCTTGCTATCTCAATGCTATCTTTGAATATACGGTCTATCAGATCTGTGTAGTCTTTTGGAGTGTCGTACTTCAGAAGATCATCAGTGGACTTGATGCCTTGGCATGCTGTGAATATTTTCTCCACATTGATCTTTATTTTAACTTCTTTCATATGTCTGTTGTAAAAATTTTAATTGAGAAAGTATTTTAATTTGCTGAGTTATTCATTCTACTGGTGCTATTATTATAAGTGATTGGCTGAATGTTCCAAGAGCAGCTGACTGGTCCACTGGGCACTGGCTGCTTCATTTGCTGTATGTGCACGAGTTAATTGCAGTGCTCTATTGGCCAGTGTATCTGTGCGGTGATTGATCAGTAGATATAGTTTGGGAATAGAGACAAGTTTAGCACCTCTCTGCCAGTACCAGCTATCTGTTGGGTCTCAGTCCTTCTCCTTTGCAGAATAAATGGGCCATAACCTCTATTTCTAATCTAGCTTGTGTATGTGTCGGTAAGGGAAACAGACCAAAAACAGGTGTGTGGCACCACTGCTGTGCATCTATCTGCTTTGCTTTGGCCTTGTGGCAGCGGGCTGCAGCAGGTGCAGGCTCATAGCGCAGAGTGCAAACAAATTTAAATAAGTGCAGTAGTGTACAGAAAACAAAATGAAATAAAATAAAATAATAAAATAAAATAAATAAATAGTACAGAGAGTGAAGAGAGCTAGTAGAGTTTTATTTCTTGTGTTTTATTTTGGAGAGTTTTATTTTGCACTGCACAGGAAAGGACTTAGTGAACAAAGGAGATGAGAGTGGAGGAGAGGGAGAATGAGTGGAGGAGAAGAGAGAAGGGGTGCTGGTGGTGTGAAGGGAAGAAGTGCCCATTGGCAGTGGAGAAAGAATGAAGAGTAAGTGCAAGTGCAGTTTATTTGTGGTGTTGACTGATCAGGTAGTCAGGTAATTAGAGTCAGGTAGCTCAAGAGAGCACAGCGAGTAGTGCTCTGGAGAGTATTCACTGTGCAGTGTAGTCATTGTATTCTAGTGACTACTTGGCTAGTTGTTGGTGCTATTGGTTTTACATAAGTAAAGCCATAGACTTTGCTGGTGTTGCATTTAATTTTAGCTTTAGTTATTGAAGACTAGGCGTAGACCATTTAATAGCTTTGATGGCATCAAATATTGAGAATAGGTGGTTACGGTTAAAGTGGTCTATTTAAAGGCCTTGTTTAGACACATGGTCTAGTATTCTTCTACGCTTTTGAAGAAAAACAACTGAGCCAGGCAACATGCAAATAAATGGATCAGTAAAAAAGATTTACTCCATAATAGGCCCAACAGCTATAAATACACAAAATAATTTTCTAGCATGAAAGACCAGAAATTGAGAAAAATACTAACTGCCAGCGCGCTAGTTCTTGTTTTTCTTGTGGCAGCGTGCCAGGGAAGCGGAAGAGCTCCTAGAGAGGAGGAGCCTGATGCCATTAATCTATCTGCGGGAGAAAAAAGAAAAACAGCTAGAACAGACAGTTCTGTAGATCCATCTTCCACTGGTCAATCTACACCAGGCAGTAAAAAACAAAAAAAAGAGTGCAGTGCATCGCAGGAAACATCCAATGCTTCTGATTCAGAGGAAGAGATTGACATTATGACAGTGGATGATGTGCAGCCAATGCAGATCGGTCAGCAAGATTTACTGAAAAAGGAAAGACAGAAGAAAAAAGACGGAACAGCAATGAAGAGGCTGGAGGAAGCAGAGATGAAGAGACAGAAGAAGCAAAAGGAAAAAGAGAGGAAGCAAGAAGAGGCAGAGATGAAGAGACTGGATAGACAAAGAAGACTAGAAGAGGCAAAGATAGAGAGGCAGAAGAAGCAAGAGGAAAAAGAAAAGAGACTGGAGGAAAAAGAGATAGAAAATATGAGAAAAGTCAATGTTGGTCTGTGGAACGACAGAAGACTGGAGAACAAAAGAAGAAGAGGGTACAAGGCAAAACACGAGG